TTACAAATTTTCCTTAAAATTATAGTTGATGGTGGTACAAAAAACAGTATTCACACTTAACATCCATAGCAAGAACTAAAATCGAACTTTTGTAGCTCTTATTAATCTTAAATTTAGTTCATTATTTGAATCTATTTTTCTAGAACTTATCTTATGTATAAGAATTTAATACAATGATTATAACTTAATTCCTAAAATAAGTGGAAATACAATGGACAAAAGCGGGCCAAACCAACTTAAATTTTGAGATGGAAAGAAAAACAAAAAGAGTAAGGGACTGTAATCATATGATAAAAACAAAAATATTTTTATCATATCATAGTTATTGAACTTATCTTATCTGATACGGTGTAAAAACTAAAGAGTTTAAGTTTTCAACCATCACCTTAGGTTTTTATTACGATTGATCGAGTTGATCCTCTAAGTTGATATCAAGAGAGCCATTAGTGTGATAAAAAGGTAATCACACCCATCACTAATGGAATATATAGTGATGGGCGTGATTACATGAGAAGACCCATATTACACCCAGATTTTAATCCTAAAGGACTTTCTTATATTGCAAAAATCAATTTCAGACTTCAACCATCAATAACTTTTGAGCTTAATGAAAACAAGCCTAAATAAAGCTTGACACAATGTTAAAGGTTTGGTTTAATGAGTGGAAAGTGGGTAAAGTTCTAGTAATTTTAGTATAGTAGACTGTAATCCCAAACTTAACATCAATTAGTTGGAAACCAGGCAGGTCCAGTTGCTATAATACAAGTCATGTCACATAATAAGTGGTCAGTTAAGATGTTAAATGCCATACATTAAGTCATTAATAACTAATTATTGAACCGATTAACATCAAGCAATTCTGGTGGTGGCCGACATTATTTATGAGGACTGAGGAGTATACGCAAGATTCATAGAAATGATGATTCATTCTTTGAAAGGATGTTCATTTCTAGTTATAGATTAATAGGATGTTCATTTCTAGTTATAGGTTAATGTTAGCTGAACTATTGTTTTGATAATGTAAAGACCTCATGTTATGCAGGCCATTACAATATAGTTTGTGGTGTTTTGTTTCATGATAAAACTTAAGAAGGAGTGACAATAGACACTAACTTTCACTAATGCTCACTATGCACATGTATCAAAACAATAGTTCAGTTAACATTAGACGTGTGTGCCTCACAATCCGAAAAAACATGAGGCAAAAATATGATGTACAAACTAAAAAACGTAGCATATATGACTATATAGTTCAAATTCAAATATTGGTATAAAGTATATACATCAACATATATAAAGTTCAAATCTAAATGATACGTACTTTGTATATAGGACTAATAAAATTTTACATCCTTTATGATTGAAGCACTTGTATCACTCATTTTTCTCAGAGAATTCATTTAATCATATATCCCTTTTTTCCTTATCTAAAACACAAGATGAGCTTTAATTTCATCTTCATGTGATTTAGCTATCATAGCCAAATGAATAATTATACCAATAGATTTTATTTTTGGGACAATTAATGTCGTCCTCTTTGTACTTTTGTTCACTATATAATTTAGCACCCAACACTAGTATCCATTCTATCCAACAAATAATGCTTGCAAGCCAAAACAAAATAACAAATAAAAAATAAAAAATAAAAAATAAATAAAATAAAGTGTTGCTTGTACATATTTCATTATTGAATGGAATTACAACAAAGTTGAAGTCATTATCAATTGTCCTTATGTTTGGAATCTTGTTTGGCAGTGGCCCTAACAGCCCAAATCTCTTACTTATTAAGAGATTCGGTTTCTCATTGTAATAGTCGTTGAGAGAGTAAATTGGCGGAATTGTCTGTTATACACCTTAGTGTACTATTCATATGATACGTAATAATGTAGATGAGAAAATGAGCGAAAAACAGTCTTGACAATATAATAGATCGGGTGTATATAATAGAATAACTTGATAAATTATTTGATTGGAATCCTCTTATACGTGTGGTAGCAAGGGCATGTTCTATGGCAATAGATGCAAGAATCTTAATACTACGTAATAATTATTCACCAAATTCAACAAATTAATAATTTTAGATTGAGACATTCTGATTAGAAATGAATAATTGGATTGATGGGCTAGCTTCTAAATCAAAATGATAATCTAAGTTTTAGAAGCTAACACGTTATCATGACATGAAATTAGAGCTCTTACCCCACCGAAAAAATAAAATAAAAATGATAATTAGGCTAAGAATTTTTAATAAAATTATTAATAGTACCTTTTCTGGTTAATACTATTTCATTAACAGACAAACAGTAGTTTGAAAACAATTAAATCATTGTTACTATAATAAATCATTTATATCATTCTGTTACATGTCACAGAAATTCAAGTCAAATTCTAAGGTGGTGCTCCATCATAAAAGTCATTATCTGTCTATCATTTTAACTTTTAAAGCATGAATTATACTCTACATTTCATCTTTTAATTTGGAGCTTATAGAACGATAAATATCATCTTTATTCATATGTTCATTTTCATGTGACAACATTAGCAGGTAAAGGGTGGTAAGCCTTCAAAATCACAGGTTCGAATCTCATCTCATCTCAGGGGTAGGCGGGGTATAGGGATAGCCGCCTTGTATAGTGTACAAAACAATATGTTCAAGAAATAATAATCCCTAACCAAAAGTTATTATATATAGGTTATGTTTCAGTGATCAGTAACATAGCTAATTTAGAGTTAAAATCTTCATTTTGTCAATTTTTCGAAAAACAATATAAAAAACTTCACAGTTAAGCAAAAGGTAGGGCATATAGAACTTTTTACCACTTTCACAAAGTCTGGTTTTATTTTCATCCATTCTTTGATAACTCATGTTTTCCTGTTATCATGCTTTTTTATGACAAAAAAAAAAAAAAGGTGTTCACACTCTCAAAAATCAACAAGTGCATAACTAGTCATTAGTCAAACTATCAAAGTACTCTGTATACTACAATTTTCTAAGAAATAAGACGTTTTGGTCACCCTGAGAAGTACTCAACAACCCACTAGTTAGACACTTGGACTGTTAGTGCTGAGTCTTGTTTTCAAAATTGGCAATATTCAACTCCAAGTGAATAATTGATAAGACAACGCAGGATTGGTTTTATACTCTATCAATCATAACGACGTTCCAATAAGGAATATAGTTGAAAGGATCTAGAGAGGATCAAAACTCTTGAATATCATCACTCAGTGAAAGAATTCAAATGTATAACATCAAATTAACTATGATACATTAGTTTATCACAATTCGGGCAGGTTTAAACCTAAAACAAACAGACACATTTGTTGCAACAGAAGATTAGATTCTAATAGAAAAGCTGGTCTTGGTTACTCAGACAATCTTCTATACGATGCTCTTAGAAAAGCTGGCATTTTTATTGTGACACTTTATGCTCCGCTGAGAGATAGCTTTTCATTTTCTGTCCACTAAAAATAATAAAGAGATTGAGCAGAATAACAGCATTTGGCTTTTGTGGCATGTGCTATAACTTTCCTCCCATTATCAAACATATATATGCATTACAAATAACTTACCAACCACAACCACAACCACCTTAGATTCGCACCATGGAGGTGTCTGCCAGATTATTCATACATAGCCTAACCGCGATAAAGACTGTTTGCGAAGAAACTAGTCTGTATGAAATTATGAATCATAGGTATGGGAGGGGCAATAAGACAGTAAATTGAGTTCGATGCAATTAGAATTTGGTTATTTTGGCTATCCTTGCAAATGGACATTGTGATCATATGACCAGCATGCAATTGATACACAGGAATTCCCTATACAAAAGAACCACCTGGACCCTAAAAAGCACAGATACTACAAATAAAAGCCATATCATGCCTCCAAATAGCATCATAAATCTCCACATTATGCTATTGGGCAAATGAAAAATGGTACGGTAATCAATCCCTTCGTTTCGAATATGCCTATAGCCCCTAATAAGTCACATAACTAATAAGCTAGGATACGGAGAGGATAGAAGCCTTCATGACAACTGAGGTAACAAAAACAGCTTCTACCAGACACAGAATTCAGGTGCTGATAGAAACAGAACACTGACTTGTTTTTACATTAAGCTTGAATCTCATTCTAATCAATCATGAACATACTCATCAGATATGGGCTCCACAGTTAATTAAATTCAGAGGGAGGAAATCTCAGCATCACAAAATCTGAATACAATCAAATTATACACAAAATAATTGCATAAATTATCATGTTTTTAAGTTTTAACTATTCAATAGTATTACAAACAATTGAGAAAATTTGTTTATATGGGATGCTTATGTCTCGAACTAGGCTAGTAAGATAGCAATTATATTTATAATAATGTGTATTGCAAGTTATGACACAGTTTATCATGCCACTCACATGTAAATCTAACATAGATCACTCAATGTATAAAGATCAATTGATTGACATATTATTCAAAGCACATTATGTGAGATATATGCTTGAACTTACATTGCCCGAGTCATCATCAATCAACCACAGCAACTATATCCAGAAGAGCTCACTCTAGGATACATAGAAACTTCTAAATCAGACTCATAATTCAAAATCCCCATTTCCTCTGCAAGTGTTTCCAACAAATTAGGGAGAGAACTACCCTCAGCTTAAAACGCATGAGATTTGTTGTTTATCTCTATCTAGCAATCCCAATTCCCAAAAGCAAACTCACTGTATTAACATTCGATTGACACCCAATCTTGATTACCAAAAAATGCAATTGCTAACTTGCTCCCACAAATAACCTCACCATTGGAAGCAACCCCCTTGAGAAGGCTACCAAACATGTACTCATCAACCACGAACCCGCACCGTCTCATGTTTGCTGAACAAAGCCCAATTGAGACCAAAACACAAATGTTTACTCTTTACAGACCCAGCAATCATACTATTCCAAGAAACTATACTTCTCTGAGACATTTCATCCAACACTTGTTGTGCAATCCCCAAAAGACCATTTTTTTTTTTTTGAAAGACCAAAAGACCATATTTTGCATACTCAATAATACTGTTGTTAGCAATTTATGTATTTTTCTTCAATATTTTACTTTAATTCCAGCATTTTCCAAAATCATCTGATAAATATGACCGTTTTTTTTTATAACCTGCATTTTAAAATTTTGGAGGGAATAATAAAGATGGAAGAATTAGGGCCCAGAACTTTATATACTATTTGGGCCCCCAAAATGAAAGAAATTATTGAGCTTAATTTCCCCAAATTTTCTCTCTCCTCGTTTCTCTGCAACTTTTTCTGCTGGTGAATGGTGTTGGAGAATCATGATTAATGGAGAAGACGAGCTTATTACTTAAGGTATGTAGATTTCCTCTCAATTTTCTTTTTTGGGTAGAGTTTAATTTTTCTATTGCACAATTTTTTGAGGTTTTATTTAATTATTTGGTATGTATATGGATGTGTGGATGTGAATTACTGTTTAGTTTCCTAATTAGCAAACTAAATTATTCATGTATATTTTTTCGAGTATCAACCATTTTAAGAGATAATTTTTGTGGGACAAAAAAAGAGAGGGGAGAGGTGTTTTGAGGGGCGATCAAGGTGTCCATTGTATACTCGGGTGTAATTTTACGTTCTCTTGGGTCTATAATGTGATGTTGGGGACTCAAGAAGTAGGATTGATATATTTGTGGTTATGATTTTTCATAATTTTGAATGAAAATGATGATATAGGTAATGTCTTTATCACAATTATTCCATTAATTTTGGTTATTTTGTTGTTCTTGGGCATTATTTAAGTTAAAATTTACTCGTTAATGGATCGAGTTTTGAAAGCTGAATATTTCATGTTGAGGTTAAACCAATGGCAAATTGTAGTTGGTGATCCATTGTTTCTGCTAGAAAAGGAATTAGTTGGAATGTGGGAGAGGATTTAAGGATTGAAATGTGGGTCATTGGAGATGTTACGGTGGCATTGTAAGGCAAAGCGATGTGCGAGGTTGAATTTCGTAAACTCTGTCTGAAAGACATGAAGATAGAGTCTTTTTTCTGAGTATAGCTCCATAGTGGCTAGGAGTCCAAGAAAGAAGAAAGGGGAGCTCTGAGTCTGAGTACAGCTCTGGGTTTGGCACTTTGGCTTCATAGTGGCTGACATCCTAAGTATTGCTTCCAAATCTGATTATGTCCTTTTGTTCTCATGCTAAACATAGTGGCAGCGCCCATTGCTTAGCTAGCTCGAGTCATAATGTCGTAGAGCAGAGGCTTTGGATGAAAGAGGTCAAGAGGTCCCCTCAGAAGTGAACACTCTTGTATGCAACATTACTTTATTCTTAAATGAAAATTCTAACAAAGTTGACTTTTTTTTTTTTTTTTTTAATTCAAGCTCAATCTATCTGAATCTTCATCCATCCATGAGATAAAACCTTTGTCTTTAACTGATGCTCATTCCCATGGTCATTCATAGACTCACCGTTTTTCTAATTGCAATATATGAAAATGTCTGTAAGAATTTTAATTATTTTGAGTCGCTGATTAGTCTAAGTACATTGTCCTCAAACCAAGGACATGTCGTTAGGTTCTTGTAAAATTTCCAAGGGTGTGCCAGTTGTGTTTATTTGTGTTGTGCACCATCAGTGACTGCTCATGTGCAACTTTCTCCATTGTTTTATGTTTAGCTGTGTACTCATGAATCACACTATAAAATGATGCAGCTTGTGATGCAAGGTATCCTTGTATTCGGAAGATTTGCTATCTTTTATGGTACTCCGTGCTGCCAATAGAGATGGGGTGGATCCTGTAGCTCAGAGAATTTCAGCATGTATGAAATATAAGTGATATTGTGCCTGAAATATGGCTGTGCGAACTCGTGAGAATTAGAAGTTACCAAACTTAAGACCTCATTAAAAACTACCATTGTAACTTTGTATTAGTAATAGATGGAGGTGAAAACAGAAAGAAGTAGACCGATTGCAGCCTTTATGGCCTTTGGCACAAAGGGCGATGTCTACCCTATTGCTGCTGTAGCTGCAGTTTTTGCTTGTGATCAACGAAAGTATGAAGTGATTTTCATCAGTCACTCTGCCCATGAGGACTTAGCTGCAAACTTGGCTGTAAGTAATATAAGATACATCCCAGTTTCTTTTCTACCTGTTCTTCCACCTCCAGAAAGTTGTGAGAATGATAAGTCTCTCGCTCTGTCATTCTGTAGTGAGAAAAACATGGTAACAAGGGAACATAGGCGGGAGTGTCTTACTATCATGGAAAGGATCTATGGAGATGGCCCGAGCATGGAAGGTGATTTTGTTTTGATCAATTTTTTCGCTTTGGACGGATGGAGTCTTGCTGAACTGTTTCATGTTCGGTGTGTTGTTGCAGCTCCTTATGTCGTAAATTACACTGCTCCTACTTCATTTCAGAGGCAGTTCAGGCGAGAACTTCCACTTCTTTACCAATACCTGATAGAAGCTCCTGATAATAAGCTTGGCTGGAAAGATGTAATTCATTGGATGTGGCCACTATTTACTGAAGATTGGGGATCATGGAGGAACAATGAATTGAATCTTAGCCCTTTGCCTTTTACAGACCCAGTGACGGGTCTTCCTATGTGGCATGAAAGGCCGTCGTCTCCCTTACTGCTGTATGGATTCAGCAGAGAGGTTGTTGAGTGTCCTGATTATTGGCCTTCAAATTCTCGGGTTTCTGGGTTTTGGTTTCTCCCTTCCCAGTGGCAGTTTTCATGCAGCAGCTGCAGCAATATGATTGATTCAGGAGGGGAACTCTGTTCAACTCATACAGGGCTACAAAGCTTTCTTGATGCTAATCTATCTATGCCAATTGTTTTCATAGGTCTGAGCTCAGTTGGTAATTTGGGTTTCTTGAGGAATCCTAGAGCATTCCTTTGCATCTTACAAGCTGCTGTAGAGATCACCAAGTGTAGATTCTTCCTTCTGACAGCTGGATATGAACCACTGGATGTGGCTGTTCAAAATTTTGCTGCTGAAGTGGATTCATCAATATTAAGTCAAAGTATCAGTTTAAACTATGGGATCTCTTTGTGCAATGACCGTTTATTTTGCTTCTCGGGCTCTATTCCCTACAATTGGCTCTTTCAAAAATGTGCAATTGCAATCCATCACGGAGGAAGTGGATCCACAGCAGCAGCACTGACAGCTGGAATACCTCAAGTTGTATGCCCTTTTATGCTAGATCAATTTTACTGGGCTGAAAGGATGTTCTGGCTTGGAGTAGCTCCTGAACCCTTGCAAAGAAATATATTGCTTCCCGAAAATTGTGATGATGTGAACATCAGGGAAGGTGCTTATGCTTTGAAGAATGCTATAAATTGTGCTATGAGTCCTGACATAAAAGCACAAGCTCTGGAGATTTCAGAGAAAATTTCTCAGGAGAATGGAGTCTCAGAGGCTGTCAGAATTCTCACCGAAGAAATAGCTAAGGGCAGTACTGTAAGTGACTAATTTTGGAACTTCCTATTTATTATAACCTCCTAGAAGCATATAGTGGATGGTGATTGATATTAGCAGTTGTTTAGCTTTCCTTGTTACCTAGGTGGTGACAACATATTCATTGTGAATTATTGACATTTCTGAACTAAGTGCCTTATATATTATGAAGTAGAATTTTATCTGCATCATCGTACTGTTAACTCGATGCCTTTAAAAAGGGTTTTAGTCTTTCATGCATGGTTGGGGAGGGAGTGCTTACTATACTAAACCTTCTGTCCTTCTGTGTATAGCTGCAAAGAAAAATTTATTAGCCTTATCCTAAAAACTGTTATCTAGCCTAGCAGATTAAAGCAAGAAATCCTAGAATTGAGTTCCTTATGCTTCGTATAGGATACTAGCTTTCGCCTATGAATCTCCTTTAAGTAATTTACAATATTGACTTGAATGAGATTATAGCACAGAGGAGTGAGCTTCTTTATTACAAATAAAATAAAATAAATACATTACAGTATGAAATAAGCCCACATATACAGGTGGGCTTGTCTTTGTGTTTGGAAGAGAGTGTTTATTAGAATAAGTTGTCAATGATAATTAGAAATTTATAAATCCGTTGTAATCTAAAGTTTAAAATTTTCCACTTATATACTCTTTTATCCATCATTTATTGAACTGAAATTGTTGTAGCTCCTTGTAGGGTATCTTTTTTAGAAAGAACAAAGAGTGAATAGATTAAAGGAAAACAATCAACTGGAATATTGTATTTAAGAAAGAAAATTTATATGCAATAAATACAGAGTCTAATGCTCAAATTGGAGCTAAAGAAACCATTCAATGAAATTTTTGCAACACCATAATTCACTATCATCTTCCATGCTCATCCACTTATTCTTGAACAAATTTGTCGTACCTCGCCTTCGCCATCAGTCTTAACTCCTATACTGCTGAGCTTCAAAAATGATTCACTCCATCCCTCGTAGAAACTGTTCAAGTCACTAGCAAATTGCTCAATCAAGTTTTTTGTTCTTTGGTCATTGAACAGGACTGAGTCAGTTTGGAGCAGTCCTTTTTTCTCCATCAAATTTTTGTAGTATTGATTGTCGAATGAGAAGGCTGTCTTAGGGTCGAAGTTAACAGTTGCAGATGTGCTTGATGCACATTTTTTAGCCAATTTTTCTGCATAGTCTTTGTCTAGTGATGAATCAACAGAAGTGAGGTTGCCCTTTGAACTTACTTGAAACCGGTCACTGAAAGCGTTACAATGTGCTGACCCGATGGTGTGTGCACCTGCAACATTAAATTGATTAATGTGATGCATATGTATATATGTATGTTTGGGTAGTAATGGTGGAGGGAAGGGAAGGGGAGGGAACCAGAGAGAAGTAGGCTTGCGTTTTCCTCCAAATCTTTCCAATTTTAAAAGAATTTTGTTTATTGGGGGGAGGAAGGGGGTTTCAATCTCTCTATTTCCCGTTCTATCCCTCCTCCCTAATCCATTCCCTAACAAAATAAAATGAATCTATTAGTGCATCACTCTGTTTTCCTTTCTCTTCTTTTATATGTCTCTCATTCTAATACAGTTAAACAGGTATTCTAGGCATTATATATATATATATATATATATATATATATATATATATATATATATATATATATATATATATATATATATATATATATATATATATATACATATATATAGGATGTTCTTAACTAATACAATACTCTGATATCTGTTTCCAGTAGCCAGAAATTTATTTTCAGTACCTTACCATTGATTTATGTATCTCTTGTTAGGAGAAATTAAACTTCTACGTTAACCGTTGGATTGAGCTCTATGGCTAGGACTTAAGAGAGACTAAACCAATGGGGTTGCCTCAGACCTAAGTACAAACCTTCAGCAAAACGCTCTTAAACTGTATTGTAAAATTATGCTGAGAGAACAGACCAGTGGACTTCTTTTGAATTTGAATTTAAATTTGCTATCTATTTTCAGGTTTAGGTAGATCAATGAAATTCAAGCTCGAACTTAATGACCTTGTTCATGACATATAATATATCATGTGCTTATTAGTTATTATTACTTGACAAAGAGGTAATTGAGGCATTATTGAAGGCTGTTTTAGATCATGAGTCCAGAGGGTACAAGAAGCAATATACTCTGGCTTGCCTTGACTGGTGAGCCAATCTTTTTAGGACCACTTATCCTTCTTAAATAAACATACTTTTCAACTGTTCTCGGCTTATTGCCTTTATTTTACCTATCTACCTTAACCAGAAATATAATTTCATTTTTGGAAAGCATTTTCAGCAATGTGTACCTGATAAAATGACTAGATCAGTCAAACTCAACCCTTTAGAGCTGAAAATCTTAGCCATATCATCCACCGTGAAACTCGTGTCAACGATGTTAGGCCTGACATTCGATATTGTAGAAACCATTCCGTCTCTCCTACCAGTCGGCATCTGAATATCCGGCCCTCCAGCCTGTTATCAGAAATTCACATCACAAAATGTAAACAATGAAAAAAGTGTGTGTGTATGCGCATGCGCAAACACGAGAAAGAAGGGTAGGTTTATTGTACCATGACAACAGCATCTCTAGCAGCCAGTGCAAGAATATCAGCACATGAAACAGTTCCAGGGCAGAACAATTCTAGCTCTCTTTTAGCCGTCTCTATTACTTCAAATCCTCCTAGAGATTTATTTGCAGGATCTGCTTTCTCTGTTCCATCCCCTTCTACTAGTACTGATGCATCACATCCCTGCAAGAGCATAGCTATAATAAAGACAAAATTTACCTTTTAAGCCTTCTTTAACCCCTAATTTTCTTCTTTTAGTAATACAAATTGTGAAATACATGAAAAATTGGGCATTAATTAAGGTGAAAGGAACAGAATATAAATCTCAAATGCAGTCATTTATCAAGAGAATGTTCCAATTAGCATTTAATTATCTAACATCTATTAAATGGCTCTTCTTAGGAAGCTGCCGCCGCTTTAGTATAATACACAGATAGAGAGATAAATAGATACAAGAGGAAACTCACATTGACGAAGCAATCATGGAAGAGCAAGCGAAGAAGTTTCCCTGGAACAGTCGGATCAGTAGAAGCAGCTGATCTTACAGCATCCCGGACTACAAACTCGACACCTGGGCACGACAATGCATAAAATTCAAAGGAGAAGCCATGACTAGAACAAGTAAACACTCCTAAAACAAAGATTAGAACCAAGAATGTTGGTTTCTGAAGGTAATTAGCTTCAACAGGTACATTAATCATTTTGTATACCATTCCAAAGTCAATGTAGCATAAATTACAAACTCTTACTCTATATATATATTTTTTTATGTCAGAACTGTATGCAATGTAACATGCAGCTTGTTTTATGTATTTATAGAAGGTGAGAAAGAAAGTTCAAAGAAAGCTTATTTATTGATTTAAAGTTGCATTTATTATGTTTTTGGAGTTGATAGGTAGGAAGCTGAAGAAAGAGGGCTGTAAATTTTAATGGAGACACTGACAATTTAGAGGGCTGATGAATAATACAGAGCTGGCACAAGGAATTAATGGTGGGTTTTCATACCAATGCTTTTACAGGTTGTGTTAGTAGTGTGTTACTACTGTGATGTCCAACTACTCTAACCAAATTACTGGTATGTATACATGTTTATTATGATAGGTATAAATTGCATGATTTTTTATTTTTTTTGGGTTACATGATGTTGAAAGTTCATGGTTTTTGTTTGGTTTAAGTTTTTGCTGCTTTCATCTTCTGGATCTTAGGGTATTATAGTCTTAAATAATCTAATCTTTACTAAAGAGACAGTTATACTATGGATTTGTTGAAAATTGTGCCGGAATAATATTGAATTATTGATTTACATTCATTATTGTAGGATATTGAGTATAATGATATAACTCCGTTTCTTTGGGCGGTTTTTGTTTGAAATATTTAATCTGAAGAGAGAAACTTTAACCAAAAGTATCCTTTATAATAAGAATTCGTGTGGGATATTCTTAGATTAGTTTTGACGTGTGATTCAAAATATGAACTTTTACTGTTAATTTTGCTTCAATGTGTAATACTTATTTAAATTTATTGATGCTTTGATATGTGCATTATAATTGGTTAAAAAAAAAGTAGAGAATCAGGTAGTGTGATTAATTGGTTACAGTTGACATATTTGACTCATATAATATAAGCTATAAAATTAAATGCTTGTTGTTACTTGTTTTTTCTTAAATAAATAAATGCTGTTTGTTAATTTTATTTTTCATACTTTAAATTTAGAATAAATGCTGCTTGAAATGGTGAGGTGGTGTAAGATAACTAGATAAACATACCAACAGAGTATTTTTTTTTTTTTTTTTTTTAGGAACAAACCAACAGTGCATGACTATGGGCCGTTATAGTTAACTTAGTGGAGTATCACTTGAGGTTCAGGTTCAATGCGCAATAACTCATTGAGGCTCAGGTCCAAAGCATAATTATTTGTGGTTAACGTAAAAGTTGAAGCTGAGGTTGACTGAATTTGGGGTTTGAAAGAGCTGTGAATTTGCAGCTCTACCATTTTTTACTAGACTTGATGGAAGTCTTTTATGAGGACTTTAGACATTGATGCTTTGCAATTTACAGTTGTTTTGTTTCTCCTTGAGATTAAATAAATAAATAGTACGGAGTATAATTTTTCTAAACTTTGTGTATACGCTAGGTATTGTTTGGTTGACAACGTAAAATGGGGGGATTGGAAATTAATGAGAATTGATAAAGAGGGTAGTTGTTTGGTAAACACACACAAAAGGAAAAATAAAAAGAAAAAGAAGCGAAATTCATGAGAATTTTTACTTAACACAAAACATGAGAATTAAATTCGAATTTTATTGAGGAATTATCTTCCATGAAATACAATTTTTTTGAAGAAATTAATTCCCGTATTGGTCAAATAATACTCTATTATTGCAATTATTACGAAATAGAAGGAGTAGTTTGAAGATTAGTACTACTAAAAAATCAAAGAGGAAGTCAATGGAGCATAGGGTCTTTGGCCCATTACTTAGTGGGGTCCAGAAAAGCTGTGATGCATTTAAAAATCTATGTGGTCATTAGTTGTTCTTATTTACCAAAATTAATTATTTGAGGTTGAGTTTCAAGTTCAAGTTGATAGTTGTGATAATATCTTAATCAAATTTTAAAGCCGCAACTACTGAGTAGTATTATTTGTTCTCTCATTGTTCCTTTATTTCCCAAATTATATTTCTGTAATTTGAAATTAAATTGAAAAGAGGCGGTTGTTGGTGTTCCTGTTGAGGCTAAGGAAATGGGAATTGTAGATTCTAAAGGTCACTTGTATTTGAAGGAGGATCCAGAGGTATGGATTAAAAATAACCCTGCTTCTCGTCTAGCTTTGGTTACAAGCTTCAGGTTGAATTTAGAGAATGGTGTGGAAGAGATAGCAGAATCCATTGGTGAGCTCACACACCTCATCCACCTGGTATTCAGGTGGTGTAGATCCCTGAAACGTGTGCCTAACGCCATCACTAGGCTTCACAAATTGGAGCACTTGCTATTTCATAGTTGTTCTCGTTTAGAAGAATTGCCGGCAAATATAGGGAATTTGGTGAGCCTTACCCATCTCCAGCTTTCTCATTGCGAGGACATCAAGTTCCTTCCTAACAGCATTGTAAATCTATCCAAATTGACTTCTTTAACTCTCTGTCACTGTGTTTCCCTTGTTGAATTGCCGGCAAATATAGGCCAATTGGCGAGTCTTACCCATCTTAAACTAAGTTCTTGCAGGAACATAAAGTCACTTCTTATGAGTGTTGCAAATCTACCCAACTTGACTTCTTTATCTCTATCCTCTCTTTCTCTCTCTGAAATACCTTATAATTTGGGAGACTTGAAAAAAAGCCTTACCCGTCTGGACCTTTCTTATTGCAACAACATCGAGTTCCTTCCTAATAACATTGCAAATCTATCCAATTTGACATCCTTATCTCTCATATGCTGTAATTCTCTCATTGAGTTGCCTTCAAATCTAGGACAACTGAAGAGCCTTTCTTATCTGGAGCTTTATTATTGCAACAAAATAAAGTCCCTACCTGATAGCATCAAAGATTTATGCAGCTTGGATACTTTAATCATCAACTGCTGTGATTCCCTCACACACCTGCCTATCAATTTGAATGTGTTGCACCTTAAGCTTTTAAATTTTTGTCCCCGCTTCCTTCCTAACGGCCTAATCAACCTAAAATACTTGAGAGTCAATATCTGTAGCTGCTCTGATGAATCTTTTGTAAATTGGAAGGATCCATACAGCCTACAACACCTCGCCATCTCAAGCTGCTTTAGTCATTGCAATTATATATTAAAAGTACCGGCCAGTTTAAATCAATTCGTCAACCTTCAGGTTCTCTCTCTTCATTATAAGAAAAGGTTTGTTGAATTGCCGGCAAATTTGGTTGGGTTGGCCCATTTATGTCTTCTTGACATTCAACATTCCAGTATCAGTTGTCTTCCTTGGAGCATCACGAAGCTACGCAGACTCCGACATCTAATGTTGCCCAAAGATTTCAGACTCGAAACATTGTCATATGAATTGAATATTTCGGTCATCATTTCCGTTAACGAAAGGCATGTTCGCAAAACCTGGGAGGAACTTAAAACAGAGATAGGACAATTGCCTATTCCTTTTGGTGGAGGTAAGTGTTTCCAATGCTTTTAATTTTTTTTTTTTTTTTTTTTTAACAAATGCTTTTAATTTTACAGTTTTATTACTCCAAATTTGTTTGATCTGGTAGACGTGGTAGTTATACTACGTAATACTCGTATTTTTAATAATCGAGCTTATCCCCTCTCTCCTCCTCTTACAATGGCAGAAATAACAAATGATGCAGCTCAAAATCCCTCTATTATGTCTCATCCCGGTTACCTCTGGTTGAAGGAGAATCCTTCTCAATGGATTATTAACAACAGAAATTTACTCAAGTTGGTTCGATTTTTGGACTTGGAATATGTCGAGTTAACAGATTCAATAATGCAATTCAGTGAGCTCACCCACCTTTGCCTGGACATCGCTGCTGATATTTGCCTACCGGATAACTACTTTGTCACATTCACAAGGCTTACACATCTCTCTCTTCACTTTTTTTCCGTTGGAAAGCATAAGTCCATTACTCATAGTTTGAGCAAGCTATCCAATTTACAAACACTACATCTGCATATGCATCATAGTGTATTATTAGCAAATTTCAATATGCCTGTCAGCCTCAAATATCTCTCTTTATCATATTGCAATAATATGAGGCCACTTTATGATAGCTTGGAAAAGTTAACCAACTTAAAGACTCTGGATCTCTATTCCTGTGTTTAATTGCGAGTCATTGCCACCATCTATTTATCTTGACAAACTCAGGCTTATTGATTGCTCCTTCGAGTCACTTGACTCACTTCCTATTGGCCTACATCACCTGGAAATCTTATTTTTCAAAAATTATAATGACTTGGGATGTATCTTTGAAAAATGTTGGAATCAGTTGGTCAATCTGGAAACACTCTCCATTACATGTTCTAAAATGGAGTTTCTTCCTGAGGATATAGCAAGACTCTGCAACTTGCAAAAATTACAACTCAAAGACTGTGTCAGCCTCAAAAAACTGCCATCAAATCTACATGAGTTGGTCAATTTGCTCTTGATATCAGCGTTACCGGAATCAAGACCCTTCCTCATAGTTTGGTAAAGCAATGCAAGCTGCAGCACTTAACCCTCCCCAAGTGTTTTAACATGCAAAGTTTGCCAGAGAAACTAAAAAAAGTGTCCATCATCGATGATACGGAGGAAGCATACTACAAGCACAAGGGTTATGATGCTTCCCTTTACCAAACCTTGGCAGATACCTTTGATGAAAGTGAAGAAACAGAACTAGGTGTTGTTCCTGGAGGTAATTAAGTGTTGCCAGTACTTCATATTTCATAATTATGTTGCATTTTTTTTTTCATCATTGATGACACGGATGATGCATACTTCTCACATATGAACAACTCTCGTAACAAAATGTCAACAGAAAGCTGCAATGAAAACAATAATGTTGTGCCAACAGTAGAAATTCATGAAACTGTCCCTGATGAGCAGACATCAGCAGATCCTTTCAACAGTAGAAGCACGGGCTATATTGAGCACATCACAACAGAACAAGGTGGTGTTTCACAGATTTATAAAGGTAAACCACTAAACCCTGCTCATAACAAGTGTGAAATCATCAGAAAGTGGTAAAGCCTGCTTAGGTTGAAAACTTTACTTTTTTTTTTCCCCCCTTTGTGCAAACAGATTCTTATTTTAATGTCAGTAAATATCCGATTGATGAGAACATACAGCATTCTGCTTTATGTCAGTTAATGAAGGGGAAGTTTAGGTTGTTGAGTTTTGTGATCCTAGTTATGTTAGAACTTTTATTTACTTGTCAAAAACAGCTTTATGAATTTCAAACTGTTAATAATACTGTACCATGTTATTTGTCTTCCTTGTATTATTACCATGCTGTCTAAGTTAACAGCTTAAGATTTTTTACAGAATATAATTCACTCAAGGAAATGCCAGGCAATATTAATGATGTGAATCAGAGGCTGAAATATCACTGTAGTATGCAGTCCCCTCCTAAAGGTCTAATGAAGGCTGAGCACTTACAAATCTCACTATGCAAATGCTCAAAAGAATTGCTTGCGAATTTGAAAGAGTCAATGAACCTACTGCACCTTGCCATTAAGGATTGCTCTCAGCATCATGTCAAAAAGTTACCCACAAATTTGAATGAGTTAGCCAATCTTAAGACACTTTCTATTCGGTGTACTCACATCGAGTCCCTTCCTAGCTTCGCAGGACTTTCCAGCCTTTTAAAATTATACATTGGAGGTGTCAGCACTTCTTCCCCAAGGCTTGAAAAGTTGCCTGCAGATTTGGATAATTTGGACAAATTATTGGCTATTGACATTCATGATACCAAAATCAAGTGTCTTCCTTGGAGCATCAAGAATCTTCAGAAGTTCCGATTTTTATTCTTGCCGCTGGATTTTAGACTCGAAACATTGCCATGTCAATTGTTTGAGTCTGTCATAATTACTGTAGAGTATATGCACATTCGAAAAACCTGGAAAGAACTCAAAACTGAGATGGGGCTATTATCATGTCGTGGTGTTGGAGGTAAGTGCTTACAACATTACTTATACCTACTGTTGTTTTATGTTGTCAACTACTATTCTCTTTTGAAAATCTGTTCTAAATTCAGCATAATAATTACTAATATGCAGTATGGTAACAAGGAAGGTTAAAATGCTCCCCTAGTCTGCAAATTTTGCATGTTTTGCTCTTGTTTCTCTAATTTATTAATTGTGCTTCTTATTCTTGGTCATCTCCTATTGTGAAAATGGCAGTTAATGAAGCTCAGAATTTTTCAACCATATCTTCTGCTGGTTATCTCCGATTGAAGGAGGATCCAAGGTTATGGATCATGAAAAACTATGATTTATGCGTGTCGGTGCAAAGCTTGGAGTTAGAATTGTCTGATGACGTGGTGAAGATAGGAGATTCCATTGAAGAGCTGCGGAAGCTCACCTATCTCTATATCTCTGGTAATAATTACCTCAACTTGAAGCATCTCCCTGACACGAGCACTACGCTAAGACACCTTTCTTTTCAAAATTGTAACATTGAATCCCTTTCTGATAGCCTTGGAAAGCTATCCAACTTGGAATCCTTATGCCTAGATTTGCAGAACACGAGCTTGCCAAAAAATCTGGATTTGTTAATCAACCTTAGACACCTCTCTTTGCAGTATGGCCAGGAACAATCTGCTTTTGATGGCTTGGAGAAGTTGTCCAACTTGAAAGCCTTGGATCTCTTTCAATGTGATATTGAATCATTTCCAGAAAATTTGCATCTTAATAAACTGAAGCTTTCTAATTGCAACTTCAGTTTACTGCCTTTAAGCCTATGCCACCTGGAAATCTTGCACAGCAATGATAAATGCAATAATGGACCAAAATGTGCTGTATCCTCATTAAGTTTGAATCAACTAGTTTTCCTGGAGACACTCTTTATTACATGCTCCTCCATGGAAATTCTCCATGACATAGGAAGCCTTCAAAATTTGCAGGAATTGCAACTCAAAGACTGCTTGGGCCTGAAAGCATTGCCGGAAAATTTGGATAAATTGATCAGATTGCGCAGTCTAGATATTAGCGGTACAAAAATCGAGTCTCTTCCTGATAGCATCTCAAAGCTACTCAATTTGCAGCAGATAGTTCTTCCCAAGTGTTTCAAACAAGATTTATCTCATAAGTTTTCAGGAATAGGGTGCACTAAGGTTTCCATTGATGACACAGATGGAGTTTCTTCAAAGGACATGAGCTCTGATGATGATGATTTTGAAGCGTTTGTGGAAAGCAACAATGATGATGGTTTTGAGGCCTTAGTGGAAAGCAACAATAAACCTGCAGAATCATACTCTAGTTTACATGTAGAAGAATCTTCTGTTGAGGATCGCGAACTTGCTCTGCAGGATATACAGATGGGTAACATGATAGCTGTGGAAAATCAACTAATGATTGCACCAAAAGGCTTGCACATATCTTCAAGTGACAAGGGAAGCTTTAGCAATGGTGGAAACACCCTTCCTGCTTCAGAGAGAGAGCAGAACAGTGATTTCCAAAGTCATAATGCCAAAGATAAGAGGAAAAAGAAAAAAATTCCTTTGGAAGCTATTCAAGAACTGATACCTAAAAGAATGACGTTGGTTGATGCTGCAATGACACTTGGTGGTATGTTTCAATTCTATGCAATATTGAATCATGAGGCAACTATTCTTGGCATGTTTGTTTAATTATAACTCTGCATCATTCAAAGCAGAATGTATGTGTTCTTATTAATTTGTTATTTGGGAGTTGTGAACTTATGATGGATTTCTTTGTTTAATTACACACCCTTCATTTTACAATTTAATTTTTAGTTTTGCTCAACTCAATTATCATATTTGATATCAATTGTAGTCTCGAGGTCTACAATGAAGCGCACACTGAAAGAGTACGATATAACATGGCCATCAAGCAGAACAGGGAAACAGCGTGATTCAAAGAAGAGGAAACAGAACACTGAAACACCTAGTGGAAGTAATCTCGCTGCAACACTGGAAACTTTTGAAGAGCCCTCAACGGAAACTGAAAGCCACATTGATATCCAGCAACATGAACAAGGGCATTTGAATCCTGCTCTTCATTCAACTAAAGGTAATTACGCTGCAACACTAGAAACTTTCGAAGAGCCCCTAATGGTGATTGAAAGCCATATGGATACCCAGCAACAAGCTCAAGGGCATTTGGAGGGCACTCTTCATTCAACTGAAAGTAATCGCGCTGCAACACTAGAAGAAACTTTCGATCCAATGGTAATTGAAAGCCATATGGATATCCAGCAACAAGTCCAAGGGCATTTGGAAGGCACTCTTCATTCAACTGAAAGTTCAGGCACTATTGTTGTAAAAGCCACTTACAAGGAGCTTTAAGTGGGAATTGTTTTCTCTTTGAGTTTACCTATTAATCAACTAATTGAAGAAATAGGCATGAAGTTCCAACTTGAGGTGAACAAATACAGATTGCTTTATCAAGACGAAGATAAAGAGTGGATGATGCTGACTAGTGTAGAAGATTTGAAGTACGCTTCAAATGTTGACAAATTTTGACTCATGTTATTAAATGCTATTGTTTATTTTTTTTCCCCCTTAAAAAATAATAGATGTTGCTTGTTTTTATGAAATATTCGGGATACTCCATATTACCATTGTTATTGCAATAACATCAAGTACCTTCCTAATTAATACCATTGCAAATCTATCCAATTTGACTTCTTTGTTTCTATCCTCTCGTTCTCCCTTTGCAATACCTTCTAATTTGGGAGCCTTGAAAAAAAGCCTTACCCGTCTGCACCTTTATTATTGCAATTGCAAGTACCTTCCTAATAGCATTGCAAATCTATCCAACTTGACATCCTTAACTCTCAATGACTGTGATTCCGTCACTGAGTTGCCTTCAAATCTAGGACAAATGACGAGCCTTTCTTATCTGGAGCTTAATAATTGCAACAAAATCAAGTCCCTACCTGATAGCATGAAAGATTTATGCAGCTTGGATGGAGTTATTATCGTTTCGTGGTGTTGGAGGTATGTATTTCCAATTACTTATACCTACATTGTTTTATTTCAACAACTATTATTCTCTTCTTGAAGTCTGTTTGCTCTGAATTACAGTACAGTAGCTACTTATATGCCTAAGTATACAAGCAACGTTAAAGTCACTTTTTTTTTAATAAATCCTCCTAGACTGCAATTTTTTTTTTTTTTTTTTTTTTATTTTATTTTTTTTTTTTATGTTTTGCTCCTGTTCATCTATTTTATTTAGTATACTGCTTCTTAGTAGTCATCTTCCTAATTTGAAAATGGCAGTTGATGAAACTCAGAAATTTTCAACAATATCTTCTTCTGGCTATCTCCAATTGAAGGACAATCCAAGGCTATGGATTATGAAGAACAAGGATTTATGTTTGTCAGTGCGAAGCTTGGAGTTAGAATTGCCAGTTGATATGCAAGAGATAGGAGATTCCATAGTGAAACTGCGAAACCTCACCTACCCCTATATCTCTGGTAATATTTACCTTGACTTGAAGCACCTCTCTGGCGTAAGCAAGACGCTCACACATCTTTCTTTTCAGCATTGTAACATTGAGTTCCAATCTGATAGCCTCGGAAAGCTATCTAACTTGGAGTTTCTATGCCTAGATTTAGGGGATACAAACTTGCCATCAGATTTGGATTTGTTCAAACTTAGACACCTCTCTCTACGTCATGGAAGTAAACATTCTAATATTGATAGCATGGCTAGGTTGTCCAACTTGAAAGCTTTGGATCTCTTTCAATGTGATTTCGAATCATTACCTGCAAATTTGAAGCTTGCTGAACTTAAGCTTTCTGGTTCCTGTTAGTAAATAAGCAAATATAAAACAATAAATACTTATCTCAACGTTGTGTAGACTAAATTGATAATTGCCGCGTCGTGGAGAACCACTGACCTAAAAGACGATTCCGCGCTACCTCCCGGTGCAGTAGACTAGAAGCGGTCGCCCTCTAGGATAAGCACGGCGCCGGAATTTGTGTGCACTCACAAACCCGACTGGAGCTCAGAATACTTGCCCAAAATCAAAGGAGTATTTTTTAAAGAGAAGATCAAAGAGAATATTTCTGATTTTTGTATGTATCCTATGGAACCCAAAGAAGCTTGAATATATATATATGTGGAGTATTAAGTGTCATTGACCAACTAATGAAATGAGTAATCAAGGAGGCAACGGCTAGGCATTTATAATCGACTATGAATGAGCGTAACCCCCGAATTATCAATGACATTCTCAACGACTTAATTCAAACGAATAGACCATGAATATTGTAATAGATACAATATTCCAATAACAATAAACCGTCAATAATAATGGGTATTAAGAGATATATCCATAACCCACTTATCGCTTCTCAAACAAGTAGTACAAAACTACTCCAATGAATAAACGACATAAAGCTTTGATAAATTATCAAAGTGGGACTACCTCTTTTATTTCCTCTCACCTTTCTTTGTATTTCACTCAAGAACTTCCAACAATCCCCCACAGGTTCGAAGATGTGAAAGAAAGAAAGAAAGAAAATTGGTTTTGGGCAAAACAAAACAATTGCATAAGTGTCAATGTCTCGCGACTTGAATTAACACATAGTGGACATCAAGCTATGATCCCTCACCTACCAAGTGACCTTCGTCTTGAACTTAATAGGGAGTTAGGGACCCGTCACTTTGAGCCACACAATTGAGCATGTATAATATTCTGAAATTCCGCGAATAAAGGTGACGCATTATACTGGCCATACGTCCAACCTGGATGCTCATAGGTGCTCTAGAGTATTAGCCCACGAAATACTCATAGGAAGCGGCCACACTTCCACACCTAAGTAGGTGAACTCCATCAAGTATGAGCTACAGCACACCTCCAAAAATATGGATATGGGTTCATTAAGAGCCGTATGCTCAACCTCCTTCTCATTTGTAGCTAAGCCCAAACAAACATCTAGAGATGGACATATAAAAATGTGCTTCCGAATTATTACATAATGTTCCCCTTTGAACTCATGGTGAGTAGGAGTTCACTATTTCACAATTCATATAACGGGCTTTAGCCCCATCTCTTCCGATGTTTCCAAAACTAGTTTTTTTTTTTTTTATTTCCATAGGCCTTTAGATAACGGATCCGTAACATTTTTAGACTTTATGTAGTCTAGTGATATCACCCCATTCGACAAAATTATCTTTGACATCAACTATTATAGGCATGGTTCAATCAAAAGTAACCACAACTTACAAATCATAACAAATTCCCTTACAATGGGATATTTGCCAGCACATTTGCTCATAAGAGCCATGCATTCTTGACCATCTTGCCTCATAACCTGTCAATTCAAGAGAAATAAATTAGATTATTCCAAAACAAACATAGCAAAACAAGATTGCTTTGCACAATTTCCAAAACATAGCTTCACCACTTAGTGGTGCAAATATAACCGCTTGAGTTTGAACTCATTATCGAACTTCAAGAACTCATGGAAACTTGCAATAGTGCAAACTCTTATCTTTTGTACTTTCAAGTACCTATGCAACCTCCTCAAAACTATCCGATGGTCATTGCTCGAGTTAAGAGTATATTTGCTTAATTTACTTACATAAAAAGCAATGTCAGATTAAGCATAGTTTCCAAGAAACATAAGACTACTAAATGGACACGAATTGCTCCCATATGATCAATAAGATCATAAAAACCTTATATTATAGCAATGACTCATCCATCACAAGTTTAGACTTAAAGACTTCCAACGACAGCTCAGTGAATTAGCAACACAATCCATAGAAGAGATATTAAGCATCACAATCCCAGGAAAAAGATTTGTAAAAATCTATACATAGTTAGACATAATCTAACTAATATTCAATGACTTCTTCCACGGAAACAATCACTCATGATATTCCACTGATTTAAAGAAAATACTCTAAAGACATAGAGATACCAAAACAAACTACTTGTAAGGAAAACTCAATCATAAACCATCTTTAGCTCAATTAACCACTTTTAGGCTTTGCATTAAACAATAGAAAATTTTAATATTAATGCCTCTCATTCCTACTAGAGTCGAGTAATCCAGCTTGGATATCCAACCACTTGAACCATAGCAATAATACACATATATGCTCAAAGACAATTTATTCAATAAAGAATCAATTAGAATATGCAATTTATCAAGCAAAAACTAAGCAAGACTTTGAGTCCAACACTGATTCTTTATTACTTCCCCCACATTGGACAACAAAGTCTGATTCAAAACCCTTACCAATGCACCCACATTCTCAATGAATGAAATATTTGGATATAAAAACCCCCACATGAAAGGACAAGGTTCAAATACCAAAATAGAGCATAAACAAATATATGGTTGGGAAAAATTCACAACTATGTCGTAACACTGGGTATAATAACATATAAGGTGGACAAGAGCAGAGATCTTTGAAACATTGAATTAATCAAGGATAATAATTCAACAATACCTCAAAATATTAACTCCCAAGCCACCATATAAAATTCAAGGCATTTACAAATTACTCATGCTTTATTCATAAAGAATTATAACACAATAAAGAGTCATAGGCGGTAACAATAAACCATTATAAAATATTAGAAAATCGTAGTCAATTCCCAAAATACTTTACTCGAAAATTCTCCAAAGAGAAAGCCATACAATCTCCTTAAGCAAAATTATCACATAATTTCCCTTCACAAAACTCAACAAGTTTGAGAATTATAAGTTTCACACAAACATGTTAAACTGAGGATAAAGTAATGAGATCAATTGAGTAATGAATAAAGCTTCTCAATACGAGTATTTCATATCATGGATTCAAGCAATTGACATATATAGTACATCTCAACTCTATACTCAACACATACATGAATCATGATAAAAGTAGTACTCGGAGTACATACATGCACCTCAAAAAAAAAATGTTAAAACATTGCTCAAAAGCATCCTACTGAATAATAAGTTACTCCACAAAATGTAGAACCAACAAATTAAAGGTAACTGATTATGTGCAATATAATGTCATACTTATAAAATATCGACATTATAACTTTTACTTTCTATTAATCATTCAACAAATATTTAATTGACAAATTCAACATTCAACGTACTTTGTCAACACCCACAAAAGCATATATTTGTTAAGATGATTACTAGGAATTAAATCAGATGATAAACATAATAACAGGAGACTTGGTTTAGAATGAACCTCCCTTGAATCAAATCAAGTAACATTAGTAAGACCTCTATGAGATACCCAATCGTCCTCATTATAAATATGAGCTTCAAGATGCCATCATAACTTCAATTGACTGCTCTCGAAATTCCGTGGACAACAATAAAATTGAAATCCCAATATCAATGACTTCCTGACCAACAAAAATGTACTAACAACTTTGGCCTCCTCAATAGTTTGGTCAGCAAGAATGGCATGAGAATCATAAGTACCATGCATGAATCACATGATAATCGTTAACTATTTAACTTTGTGTATCCCAAATAAAAACTAATTGTTTGGGTCCAATTTAGTCCAATTGGGCTTAGGCATTAAATGATCCAATTAAAAGCCCAAGGTCAAGGTTCATCTCTCCAATTGTGCTAAAGTCAAAGATC